GAGGAAAGCTTTCCGAGGCGGCCGGCAGATTTGATTTTGATGACATGTTTCGGGCGTTGTCTGGGTCTTCGGACTTTGGCAACAGGGACTGCTGCAACCTGTTAGAGATCAGGAACGCGAATGTGCCCTTTTGCGTCTCCCCAAATCAGTCAGCTGATGAAGCCCTGGAGCAGAGGCTGCTGATGTATGTTAGAGATTTTGGGAGACTTCTTCTTCTTTGGCGATCACGCGTAGCCGAGTCAAGGAACGCGGGTGGTGCTGTGGGTCAAACCACAGAGCCTAGGACTTGCTGATCAGAAGGTCGGTGGTTTGAATCCCCATGACGGGGTGAGCTCCCGTTGCTCAGTCCCTGCTCCTGCCCACCTAACAGTTCGAAAGCACATCAAAGTGCAAGTAGATAAATAGGTACCGCTCTGGTGGGAAGGTAAACGGCGTTTCCGTGCGCTGCTCTGGTTCGCCAGAAGCGGCTTAGTCATGCTGGCCACATGACCCGGAAGCTGTATGCCGGCTCCCTCGGCCAGTAAAGTGAGATGAGCGCCGCAACCCCAGAGTCGGCCATGACTGGACCTAATAGTCAGGGGTCCCTTTACCTTTACCATAGCCGAGTAAGATTACCTTCTATGAATGTGGCCTTAACAGTGTGTTAAGTGGTGACCGTAGAGGCCAGTTCTGGATTCATGCATCCTTCCACAGTGGGGACAAAGGATTCCGGGTGGGAGCTGATCACGGTGTGGATTTGCCAAGCGTGCCTTCCTCTTAGCACCTTTCTCCCTTGCGTCCTGAGTTCGAGTGTCTTCAAAGCCCATGACACCTTTGGTAAAGGCTGTTCTCCAACTGGAGCGCTTTCCGGCTAGTGTTTCCCAATTGCCGGTGTTTATACTATGAAGAGGCATGGGTGGCGCTGTGGTGTAAACCACTGAGCCTCTTGGGCTTGCTGATCAGAAGGCCGGCGGTTCGAATCCCCGCGACAGGATGAGCTCCCATTGCTCTGTCCCAGTTCCTGCCAACCTAGCAGTTCAAAAGCACACCAGTGCAAGTAGATAATTAGGTACCACAGTGGTGGGAAAGTAAACAGCATTTCTGTGTGCTCTGCTACAGTGTCCCGTTGTGCCAGAAGCAGTTTAGTCCTGCTGGCCACATGATCCAGAAAGCTGTCTGTGGACAAACGCCAGCTCCCTCGGCCTGAAAGCGATATGAGCGCCACAACCCCATAGCCGCCTTTGACTGGACTTAACTGTCCAGGGGTCCTTTACCTTTTTACCTTACACTACCTTTTTTTAGATTTTCCTTTGACAGTCTTTAAACCTCTTTTGTTGACCACCAACATTACACTTTCCATTCTTAAGTTGTGAGTAGAGTACTGTAGTTGCTTTGGAAGACAATAATCAGGCATCCGAACAACATGATCAGTCCAACGAAGCTGATGTTGAAGAATCATTGCTTTGACGTGGGTGATCTTTGCTTTTTGTGGCTTAGGGCCCTCATATCTACGGGACCGCCTCTCCTGGTATGCCCTGCATAGGACCTTAAGGTCCATGAATAACCATAGTTTAGAGATCCCAGGTCCTTAGGAAGTCAGACTATCCTCCACCAGGGCCAGGGCCTTTTCAGTGATGGCTCCAACCTGGTGGAATGCTCTGTCCCATGAGACTATGGCCCTTCAGGATTTAACCTCCTTCCATCGGGCCTGTAAGACAGAGCTATTCCGCCTGGCCTTTAATTTGAATTCAGCCTGATTTTTTATTTCTCTTCTTTCCCCTACCCCTCCCCTTTTATGAAGATCACCCGCTCTGAGACCCCACAGCTAATTCTCCCCTGGCCTCCTTGCTGGCCCAAGTAGGACTAATTCAGCCAGCTAGCCCTGGGGGCTATCTAATTGATTTTTGAATTTTATTGTTATTCATGTTGTTATTCTGTATTTTATGCTGCTTTTATAATTAAGTGTTTAAAGTGTTTTGAATTTGTTGTTAGCTGCCCTGAGCCCAGTTTTTGAACCAGGAAGGGCGGGGTATAAATAAAAATTTAATATTAATAATAATAATTCTTCCAGTACTCTGGCCTTAGTTTGCCTGTCTTACCAAGTGATATGTAAAATTTTCCGGAAGGAATTTCATATTATTGTAGAGTTGGAAGGTGAGCCAAGGGTCATCGAGGGAAGAAGGCTCAGAGCCCGAGGAATGGTGGTGGGACAACGATGAGTGGTCACAGGGAGAAGAGGGAGAGGACTGGGAAGAGAAGGTGGTGGAAGCTGAAGGGGTAACAGGGCTTAGTGAGCTGGGAGAGTTGGCGGCAGAGACAAGTCCAGAAGCAGAAGAAGGAGAGGAGGGAGGCAGAGATGAGTCAGGCTGGTGAAAAGTCACGGGTGTCTCCTCCTCCTCCTGCTGCAACAAGCTCTCCTTCTCTCAGTCTCCCAGAACCAGGAGAGGCATGAAAAGGGCAGAGAAGAGATTGGTTGCAAGCAGGCGCAGTCTCCGATTGCTTGGAATAAAACCCTAGAGAAGACGGGACTTTGGCGGTTGCGGGGAGGTGAGGACGTTCAGTCTCAGCAACTGATTTCATGAGGAAGACCCACCAGGAAGGAATTGCTCTGCTCGTTAGGCCTGACTGTTAGGCCAAGTATGTGGAGATTGTGTTTTTGCTAATTAAAAGCTAACTCTGACTTTCAACTGTGTGATTTCCTGGCCAGCTCTCTCTCTGACACTGTGGCCTTCCAGATCCCATTTGGAGCCTCCTGCACTTCAAAATTTAGCACTGCTGATTATTTGCACTTAAGAACATGCCCGTAGACATGCAAAAATACCCGATTAATGCTGTATTTTTTATTTTTTTGGGGGGGCCCTTAGATGGAAGGCAGGTGGGGTTCATAACTGGGCTGTCACCAAAGAAGCGCCAGATAAAGGAACATATTGTCAAATGGTAAGAAACTGTCTTGCGGCTGTTAGAATCCTCACCGTTCTTTGTCAGAAGACACCATCTGTGTACAGTAGTAAATCTAAGTTGCCCTGTGCCGTTGATGACACTTGTCACAAATAAATCAGCTTCAGAAACAAGGCACTGCTCCTTGAAAGGAGGAACAGCTGGTGACACGCCCCCCCCCGACAAATATTAGACGTAGCGGCAAGGATCCTAATTGCTAAAAACTGGAAAAAAGAAATTGTGCCAACAAAAAAGGAATGGCAAGACAAACTGTTAGAGTATATTGAAGTGGCTAGATTAACAGAGGCAAAAAATGTATTTTTCAACAAAGCACAACATTTCGGAAATCCCTCCCGGGATGTCAATTCTGCCTTTGAGATCCCGGTAAAGTCTGGGACAATCTGGGCATGTCAGGAGTGCATGCAAGAGCCAGGCCCTGTGACCAGTAGGGCTTCGCAGGACTGGGGCCTTCCTAAGTTTGTTCTGGAGAGGCAAGGTGCAGCCGCACAGGTGAGGCCAATTGGTAACTCACAGCACCTGGTGGCAAGAGCCAGAAGGGATATAAGGTTAGCATTTCCCTTTGGCTCTTTGCCACAGCAACACGCTTCCTGCCTTGGGCTTCTTGACTCCTTGCTTCCTGATCCTTGGACCCTTGGCCTCCTGACTCCTGACTCCTGGCTTCCAGACTCCCGTTCCTGCTCCCACCTCGCCGTCTTGCCCCCGGTCCCGACGTCCTCAGCCGGGACTTCGACCACCCGTAAACCGGACCATGACAGGGCATATGACAGCCCTAGTGTAAGGCAGTTTTCTATGTTCCTAACCAACCAACCAACCAACCTGTGTTGAGCCAAATTACTCACCTCTCACCTGCTTCTCTGCATAAGAGATACAGAGCAGACACCGAGGGAAGTCTAAAGTACAGCAGAAATGGCAGCCTGCTCATCCCAAATGAGGATGAATCTCTCCCCTTGGACGGATGCCATTTCCAGGCCAGTGTCCTCACTGGACTCATGAGTAAACGGAGGACTTGGCCGCATCAGCATCATCAACGGGCCAGCAACCAAAGGAAGATCCTGGGCTGATCTGAGGTCCGAGTCCAAGCAAAGGGAGTCTTCGGCAAAGGGTCAGGCGAGAGGCAAGATCCAGACAAGTCCATGTCCAGGCTTGATAAAGGCAGGCACTCCAACAGCAGGAAGAGCACAGAGTTGAGCCAATGTCCCGAACATCTGGCCTACCTGGCAGCAAGTTGGTATGCCCTGTCCAAAATCCAAAGCCCGAGGTCCAAGGTTCGAGAGACACAGGACAGGCTCAAGCCAAGTAGCCATGTCCACAGTCCAGCAGTCAGGATACAGTCCAGAGTCAGCCCCAAAGCTGAGATCTAGGAGCATCTCAGCCAAGGTCCCTCAACATGGGCAGTTGAGCAGACACAGCACCTCAGCTCTGTTTCCCTTTTGTGCTTTGCATGTTGCTTGCAGCATCTGGGCTGGATGGGTCTGGCACCCTCACCTGTCCTGAGCCCCCTTCTCCCAGAGCTACTGAGCCCCACCTGGCCAACGAGAGAGCTAGGCTGTTGGCCATTGCCTGTCATCCTCCTAGAGGGTTCCTCCTGTGGGGTGTATCATCACTGAAGCAGTCAAACACAACATTTCCTAGTTACAGGTAGGTAGAAAAATTGATGCTTTTGAATTATGGTGCTGGAGGAGACTCTTGAGAGTCCCATGGACTGCAAGAAAATCAAACCTCTCCATTCTGAAGGAAATCAGCCCTGAGTGCTCACTGGAAGGACAGATCCTGAAGCTGAGGCTCCAAGACTTGGGCCACCTCATGAGAAGAGAAGACTCCCTGGAAAAGACCCTGATGTTGGGGAAGATGGAGGGCACAAGGAGAAGGGGATGCCAGAGGACGAGATGGTTAGACAGTGTTCTCGAAGCTACCAGCATGAGTTTGACGAAACTGCGGGAGGCAGTGGAAGACAGGAGTGCCTGGCGTGCTCTGGTCCAGGGGGTCACAAAGAGTCGGACGTGACTAAATGACAACAAAAGCCGTGTTGGTCTGCCATAGTCAAATCAAAACAATTTTTCCCCCTTCCAGTAGCACCTTAGAGACCAACTAAGTTTGTTCTTGGAATGAGCTTTCATGTGCACACACACTTCTTCAGATACTAAGTGTGCATGCACACAAAAGCTTATAACAAGAACAAACTTAGTTGGTCTCTAAGGTGCTACTGGAAACAACATTTCCTGTTTTCCTACTTTTAAAGATTATTTCTTTAAAGTTATCTGAAGAAGTGTGCAAAGTGAAGCAAAGTTCTTAACCTGAAGCACTATTTCTGGGTTAGCAGAGTCTGCAACCTGAAGTGTATGTAACCTGAAGCGTATGTAACCTGAAGCGTATGTAACCCGAGGTACCACTGTATTCTTTTACCCTTTTACAAGTCCACCACATATAAAACATACCCTCAGCCTCATTTACTGCAGAGGAATCCTCACCTGTAGGCAGGCACTTCTCAAGATGGATCAGGTTTCATCTGGCGTTTAGGCTGCTCCCTTTGCCGTGGGGCCTGTTTTGCAAGGTGTTAAACGTGGGGCTGCCTCTGCAGACGGTTCAGGAACTTCAGCTGGCGCAGAATTTGGCAACCGGATTGCTCATCGGGGCAAGATAGTTTGAACATATTACGCCGATCCTGGCCTGACTGCGCTGGCAGATAATTCTGGGCCCGATTCAAAGTGCTGGTTTTGACCTATAAAGCCTTAAACAGCTCAGGACCACAATACCTCAAGGACTGCCTCTCCATGTATGCACCGACCCAGACCTGCGATAATCTTCTGAGGCCCTTCTTCATGTACCTCCTCCACGAGAGGTCTGGAGAGTGGCAACACGAGAGCGGGGCCTTCTCTGCAGTGGCTCCCCGTCTGTGGAATACTCTCCCCAGGGAGGCTGGTGAAAATGTGCAGAGAAGGGTGAAAAAGATGACAAAGGGCTTGGAAACGAAGCCTTAGGAGGGAGTTGGTTATGTTTAGGCGTCTTCACATATCTGAAGGGCTCTCCCGCGTAAGATGGAGCAAGCTTGTTTTCTGCTGCTCTGGAGGGTAGGACTCGAACCCATGGCTTCAAGTGACAAGAAATGAGATTCCAACTAAATATTTAGAAGAACTTTCTGATGATAAGAGCTGTTCAGATGTGGAACAAACTAGCTCAAAAGATGGCGGACTCTCCTTCAGTGGAGGTTTTCAAGCAGAGGCTGGCTGGCCATCTGTTAGGGATTCTTTAGCTCTGCTTCTGGCATTGGAGGGGGGTCAGACTAGATGGCCCCTGGGGTGCCCTCCAGCTCTCAATTCTACGGTTCTTTGACTCCACTGGCTGAGACATGACATTTAGGGACCTATCTCATGTACACTTGAGAACCCCCACAGCATCACAGAATTAGAATGTGAATGTAGGGCCTTTGGGGGCAGGGACCCTCTTTTCCCATAGGCCACTCTGCAAAATGCCAGGTATATAATGTCAGCGCACTGTAATAAACAAAATCTGCCCTTCTTCCCTTATGGGGGACACAAGAGCCCTTATAGAGTCTTTTGTAGGTTCTCCATCGGTCGGAGAAAATAACAGAGGCCAACCAGAGAATTTTGAGAAGCAAAGCAGCTTGTAAGCCTGATCTTTATTGAGCTGCTGCAACAGGGTGCTTCCCTCACACGCAGGAAAGGAGGAGGACCCAGAACAAAGGTGTGCCTGCCCTTATATAGACATTTTTAATTCCCTGCCCTGGAGCTCCAGACCACCCCTCCATACATCATCCATCCATCACAGAAGGGGTGTAGCCCAAGACCACGCCTCACAGACATCATACCCCACACCACAGAAAAAGCGGTCTACAACAGAAATTTGAATGTTGTTGTTTTTCCTGTCTGCCAGGTTATCTGATAATGCCTTACCTGTTTGCCTTTCCTGGTAGTCTGGCCATTCCTTTGAGATGGTGATTTCCCAATTCCTGCCCTCCCTCCTTGCAGAGAAAACATTTAGTCAGTTTGGGAGTCTAAATGGTTTCAGGGCGGTCTTCCTGTGCTGCTGCAGACATGTGGTCCACATATCTATGTACGTGCTTGGTTTGTACATTTATGAACATTTATTATAGATATATATAAGACTCTGGCTGGCAGCAGTCCTGAACACACTTCAGAAACTGGGTTTTGCCCCTCAAGCCCTTCTAAGTCTGGGATTGGGCCAGGCAAAAGCTACGGTCAGGCAAAGAATCATAGACACCGAGAGACAACAGGACTGCTCAAGGTGCCCCGACTATAAAATTGGAGAAATCAAGAGATATATAGCAGCACCAGCAGGATATCTCTTCTGGCTCGTATCCAAAAATGCTAGAAGGGACTTTACACTCGCCAGAAGCTCAGCTCTGCCCTTGCCGGCCCTGGAAGGAACCTTTAAAAAAGTCCCATACGCTCAGAGACTTTGCGCCCATTCATTGGGGGAGATAGGAAGCCCAGAGCACTTGTTCTTTAGATGTCCCTTTTATGAAGAGGCACGTAGTGAGACCATTGATCCCCTGCTGGTGAGGCTCACAGACCTCCCGGAAAAGCAAAAATTTGACCTTTTCCTGTTAGGCAAAGATCATAAGACGACCCGGATGGTCGCCAGATTCTGTGTACAGATCGGTAGGCAAAAACCATCCCCCAACTCAAACTAGTTCATGAAGAAAACCCCCAAACTTGGTTCCATGGGTGACTCTGGGTCATACTTATGTTGTAGCTTATCTTAAAATTTTAAGTGTCTATATGCTTATCGCAATTATAAATTTTAAATTTATTGTTGTACATTGTTTTAACTGTTTGTTTCCTTTCTGGGGTTGTACCCCCAAGTGTGTTTTATAAGTTGGTCTCTGACCGTAATAAATTATCTATCTATCTATCTATCTATCTATCTATCTATCTATCTATCTGACTTTAATTTTTTTTATTTCAGCACCTTCCTTTCTAGGCCAAAGAGCTCCGAGTTCTACGACCCTTCCATCGTTTCAGCTTCTCCGAACCATACGCCTCCTATACCTTGCAACCCCTTGTAAAGTAAAAGAAATCAATGATTAGAGCACCAGTGGCCGTTGGCAGGGGTAAATATTAATTGTGCGTTGCCCACTTCAAAGAAGCGCTTAGTCAGTTTCCGGGGTACCATATCGTGGATAGGCTTTCATGCTACCTGAGTTGGAACTAACAGACTCGATTGCCTCCGCTGAGCCAATTTCCACTTCTCCAACTGTGCTTTTCTTTTCTTAAGAATTGGGTGGGGTGTGTGTGTCATTTTGTCTTATCTCCCTCTGCAGGAAAGCCTCCTGCTGCGTCTGAAGCAACACGGCAAGTGAAATCATTATACCTTTCAATTGCAGGTGCAGGTATCGTCGCCAGCCAGCTTCGCAAAGCCTTATCTCTGTCTCCTCTGCCTTCTTTCCACTGGGTTGGCAGAGGCCAAGAGAGGTGGGCAAACCATGCCAGCTTCAGGTGTTATCAGTCGGCCACGAATAAGATTCCAGGGAGCGGGGAAGGGGGTTCACAGTTCAGTTGCGATAAGACCTTTCGAAAGCGTGTGTCAAGTCACACTGGCTGGAAAGGAAGGTGCAGCAAAAGCTTATCCAGCCCTGTTTTAGTGGCTGCATTGGACAGGAGCCAAATCACACTGCCAGGTGAGTCACACGATATGCCAAGAGCTGGTTTTATCGTGTGCTGACCTTTAAATGAGCGTCTCCACCCCCATCGTTCAGCCCGGACACTGAGGTCCAGCGCCAAGGTTCCCTCCCTGCGAGAAGTGAGGTTGCAGGGAACCAGGCAGAGGGCCTTCTCGGTGGTGGCGCCCGCCCTGTGGAACACCCTCCCAGCAGATGTCAAAGAAATAAATAACTACAGTGGTACCTCAGGTTACAGATGCTTCAGGTTACAGACGCTTCAGGTTACAGACTCTGCGAACCTAGAAATAGTACCTCGGGTTAAGAACTCTGCTTCAGGATGAGAAGAGAAATCGTGCAGCGGCAGCAGTGGGAGGCCCCATTAGCTAAAGTGGTACCTCAGGTTAAGAACAGTTTCAGGTTAAGAACGGACCTTCAGTACGAATTAAGTTCTTAACCCGAGGTACCACTGTATTTAGAAGACATCTGAAGGCAGCCCTGTTTAGGGAGGTTTTGAATGACTGATGTTTTAATGTGTTTTTATTCTTCTGTTGGAAGCTGCCCAGAGTGGCTGGGGAAACCCAGCCAGATGGGTGAGGTAGAAATAAATTATTATTATTTTTATTAAGCTTTAAAAACAGCCTTGACCCTTTAGCATCTCCACCTCTATCATCCAGCCCGGACACCGAGAAACTTCTGGCAGTTTCTTCGCTGCGAGAAGTGAGGTTACAGGGAACCAGGCAGAGGGCCTTCTCGGTGGTGGTGCCCACCCTGTGGAACGCCCTCCCATCAGGTGTCAAGGAGATAAAACAACTACCAGACTTTTAGAAGACCTCTGAAGGCAGCCCGGTTTAGGGAAATTTTTAATGTTTATTTTTTTTTTTTAAAATCATATTTATTAAAGTTTCTAAAAATATAAAAGTACAAAGAAAAAAGACAGAAGAAAGAAGATATTTAAAAACCTTACTTTCATTCCCTACTTTCTGGAACTCCCCCCCTCCCCCCCCCAATTGTATTCCCCTTTCCTTAATTTGGTTCTACAAGCTCTCACTCCCAAATTTAAAGCTTAATTTGTTTAACCCACTATCCAAATTGAATTGTACAAATCTTACCACCGTCCCACATCATTAACAGAAAAAAAAAAAAAGATTTTCCCCAAGATCCACCCCAGTTCCTTCCACAAATTCCCTTTTTTTTTTAAACACGTCCGATCAAAGTAAAATAACATGCGTAAGTTATGTAAAGAAATAGAAAATAAGAGATATAGAAAAGTTCAAAAAATGGTTACACAGCCTTTGGATTTCAAATCTCCCCCTTCCCGGTTTGAATTCCCCATGTCCATCAGTCTATACATTATCAGCTTGGAAGTCTCATTTCATGACCAGATTTCTCCCGATTCCATCTTGCCGGTTTTCTTCTAGTTTATTAATTTAAATAATATTTGACTTCAAATGTCCAATCTAACAAAGGCCTTTAATTTCCTTGATCTTTACCACTCCTCCCGTTGTTCTTTCCGTGTCGTAATCAGTCCTTTATTCTTCTTATTCCTCACTTTCTCAGGTTTCTTGTCCT